GGCGCCTGTTGGGGCCTCCTGGGCGCCTCTTGGGGCCCCCTTGAAGCGCTCTTGGAAGCCTTGGGAGCGCACTTGGAGCCCTCTTGGACCATCTCCGGGGGGCGAGACCGACGCCGATCACGACGGCGACGACGACACCTGGTACACCGACCGACCTACCCCAGCAGACTTCGGTTCCCGTCATCTCCGGGGGGCGACACCAACGACGACCACGACGGCGACGACGAGCACACCGACCGACCTACGCCAGCAGACTTCGGTGAAGAATTCTGAATGAATCGAGATGGAGGGGGGGCGTATATCATTCAACTGCTGCTGTCTATTGCGACATGGTGCATATCTGTTTACACGCACGGCCAGCTAGACCGTTGCGCGGGCCACGAGATTCCCAAGCGACGCGGTTGACAAATTACCCAGTGCAGTCGCACATTGCGAACAGCAGGCATTCAGATGATGAGGGCAGCGGTGGTAAGAAATCGGCCTCGAGAGCCCACCAACGCGGCATTCCGACCTGCAGCGCCCAGCTGTCCACCCCACCTGTCGATGCTCAACCTCTACCAGATCGACACTGCGCCACCTTGCCACCAGCATCCATCTCCGCAGCTCCACCTCCACCTATCGATCTCCCGCATTCACAAACACGGCATGTTGACCCCAGCAGACAGCACCCAACTCCAAGTACACCTCCACCTGCCTCATCCAACCTCCACCACTCCAGCACCTTGGCCCCTCACATCCAGCCTCCGACATCAACGTTCACACCTACACCCCCGCCTAACGAGTTCCAGGCTCCACCAGGCCATCACCACGACCTGCAACGCCCAGTGTCAAACATTCCACATCCATTTCCACATATCGACCTCCAACGCACACCAACGACCTCCAGCACTTGAGACGCATCTTATACACGAACGGCCGGCATGCAGGTGGGCACCCTGGTGCAACAAAGACAAAACATTCCGACCTCCAGCATCAATTCTCCCGGTTTCACATGGGCGGGCTCCCACGCCACTCCCAGGGCAGCCCAAAGGTGACAGCCCCGCTATGGACCGCCCCCCCCCCCTCCACTCCAAGCGTCAGCCCTAGCGCCATCGCCTCCGCCCCGACGACAGCCCCTGCGCGAACGTCAACACTGGCACCTACGCCGACACCGACACCCAAACCCACACCAGCACCGACGCCAACGGCATCTGGTGTCCTTCCGGCGCCAGCACCAACGCCGGCACCACCGCTGGGGCCATCGCAGGCACGTCCACCAGCACCAGAGCCAGCCCCGACGATGGCACCAACGCCAGCGCGCCGGCACCAACACCAGCGCTTCCACCAGCACCGACGCCAGCACCGACTCCGGCGCCTACTCTCGCAGCATGGCCGCCTGCGACTACGCCAGCATCAACACTGGCGCCTCCGCCAGTGCCAGCCCGTGCGTCAGGAACAGCAGCCGACGCCTACGATAGCATCGACGCCAGTGCCGTCACCAGCAGCACCGGTCAGCGAGTAGAGCAGCATACGGCACTACCAGTGAAGGGAGCACCACTACCGCAGCGAATTCCGCGACATGTTCGTTGCGACTTGCATCGTGGCGCGACTTATTTCTACGAGTTGGTCTCGAAAAGCTCCGTGCCCGCCCGGGGCGGAACTTCGGTCTTTTGCTCCAACTGCCCTGATCTATTGGGGCCAGCAGCACGACGGCGAGCATCGCGGCCTTGGATCAGTACGACGGCCACCAACAGTACGACGATGAGAAGCACGACGATGAGCAGCACCACCGGCGCCAACACCAACGCCTGCTCCAGCACAATCGCGGGCTCCATGAGCTGCAACCGAGTACCCCATGCAGCGCGACAGGGTCCGCGAGCAGCGCGGCGGAGACCACGAGCAGCACTGGAATGAATCGACAGGCTGGTTGACTCGGGCACCGACCGTAACGGGACCTGCCGCACCGACCGGCTCGGCGGCCCCCTCGCTGACCAGGTCACTAACCCCTGCGAAGGACCCGCTCGCCGACTCCCTCGCCGACCAGCTCGCCGACTCCCGCGCCGACCGGATCGCGGCCTGCTCCTTCATCGACCAGCCCCTTGGCGGATTCGCAAAACGATCGAATTTCTTTTCTCCCTCCAGTGCGCGGCGCCAGAGCACAGTGGAAGAAAAACTGTTGCGCCTTGCCTGGCACCGTGGGCTCAAGCTGCCCATGTGAGGCCTCAGCTGAACAGCTACAGGACATCGCGCGATGAGGGGGGGGGGTCAGGAGGCTGTAGGATATCGCGTGCTCCAGCACCCCCCGGCTCCCGCGCCGATCAATTCATCGACCCCCGCGCCAGCCAGCTCACCGACTCCCGCGCCGACCAGTTCACCGACTCCTGCACCCAGGCCCGGCTCGGACCATACACTTGCCCCAGCGCTAGACATCGCAACAGACCCGAGGACACTCCTGCATCGCGTCCGCGCCAACTCCGACACATACTCCAACTCCATTTCCACCCTGCACGACGGATACCTCGAGCAGCACGACAGAATCAACAGTATTACGACCACCACGTGCAGCGCGACGGCTACCATGGACAGCACGGCGGCTTCGCCCCCCCCATTGACTCCAGCTCCAACTCCGACCTAGACTTCGGTCTCGGCGTCCGATCCCGCTCCGACGCCAGCTCCGGAATTCGATGCAAGACCCTGGCGTGGGCGTTGCGTAGCCGGGTTCCTGTCTGACTGGTACCATGGTGCCCGTCGCCAGGCGCCCTTCGGCCTCCACCCACTCCTGGGGCGGCTACCAGCACTTGTGCTACATCTACTTGTACCTCCGCTTGGCCGACCACTCGTGAGCCCCCGCACCGCCTTTTTGCCCTCCTCTACTTTGGTGCTCCCCCTCCTCCTCCTCCTCCTCCTCCTCCTCCTCCTCCTCCTCCTCCTCCTCCTCCTCCTCCTCCTCCTCCACTTCCTCCTCCTCCTCCAGCGTAGGCCGCCTAATACAGGGGGCGCTGTAATTACCCAAATTACGGAGCGCGTGGGTAGGGGCTGCCCGCTAATCTTCGGCAGCATGCCGGTCCAATGGCCACTTCAAGCTGCGAGTGGAGACACTTTGGCCTCTCATGGTGTTCATCGTCGTCGCCCTGCTGATCGCCTGTTTTGTGTTGGTTCCGTTTGTGCGGGGCTAGCTTTGGCGATCCGTTACTAGTAGCTTGAGGTTTCGTTGGCCGTGAAAAAACTGAAACCCCGGATGGCCATCGGAAGCGAAAAGGCGAGGAGGCCAACCAAATATAGATTTGCTTATGGTGTTGGACAGATTTTGGTCTCTTCGGGGCATCTCCTGGGGGAGCTCTTTGGCCACTTGGAGCCGTCCTGAAGCGGACTTGGCCTCTTGGAGCATCGTGGAAGCCATTTTGGGGCATCTTGGGGTATATCTTGAGCCATATTGGAGGTCATTTGGGGCTCTCCCAGGCGATCTTGGGTCATCTGAAGCACGCCCCCCCCCCCCCCCCCCCCCCCCCCCGAAGCCCCAATGTGACCGAAACCTTTCGTAACAAACCATGATTTTGGCATGCTCGCCGAGGCCTCTTGGAGCGTCTTGGGTGCCTCTGGAGGGTCTCTTGGGGCCTCGTGGGGGTCTCTTGGGAGCCTCTTGGGGGCATCCTGGGGGGAGCTTATTAGGGGCCACATGGGGCCATGTCGGGCCATCTCTGGGCCTCTTGGGGCCTCCTGGGCGCCTCTTGGGGCCATCTTGGAGGAGATCGATCACAGGAAGGGGGGGGGGCTAAATTAGCCCCTCCCGGGAAGCCAACATGGGGGGCAAAACCATCGTAAAACAAATGATGTTGGCTTCCTCGCCGAGGCTTTTTGGGACGTTCCAGCGCGTCGCGGAACCCCCCGTCCAGGTCCAGGGGAGGGGGTGGGGGGAGGGGTGAACCCCTCCCCGAAGGGGAAGTTGGAGGGGCAACTGAGGAAACATTCTAGACAACCTACGCCCACAGGGCTGGTGGGATTAATGGGTATGGCCTTCTCACTGAGACCTCTTGGGGCGTCTTGGGTGCCTCTGGGGGGCCCCAGCTCGCCAACCCCACGCATACGTAGCGCCCGGACCTCAGCGCATTCAGCTGTCGTCCATGGGTGGACAGCTATCAGAAACCAGAGCAGGCCCCACGTGCACGACGGTGGGGCGAGGTGCGCCGCGCGTGCCAAGCGCGCCACGCGCGCCAGGTGCGCCAGGCACCCTGGAGCCCAAGCAAGCCAGGCACGCCTGGCGCGCCAGCTGCGCCGCGTGCTCCACGTGCGCCACGTGTGCCGCATGGTCCAGCCGCGCCAGGTCCGCCACATTCGTGGCACGCGCAAAGTGTACGAGGTGCGCCCTGGCACGTTACAACACACATCGGGCACCATGTCTGCCCCCCCCATCTTCGTCGAAAACCAATACACAATGCACAATCGTAGCGAGGAGGCCATAATGGTGTCTGGTGGGCCGGCACACAGCAGGCAATCTGCAAACTCCCCCGCCGTTTTTGTCAAAATCCAATGGACAATGATCGCAGGGTGGCCGCACATGGTTTTGACCGAGCCGCGGCATGTATGTGGCATTTTTTTGGACAGGGATGGTGGCCTTGCGCACAGCAGACAATATGATACCCCCCCGCCGCCCTTGTCACAAAAACGGTGCAAAGTGCTCGCGGAACCCACGAACATGACCCAAGGCACCGTGAATTTAATTATGTTGTTTTCTACAAGGATGGTGGGACGGGGGGGGTCATTGTTCCTGGTTGGCTGCTGGTCGCCTGGGGGCGGGGCAGTGCTTTAAGAAGGATCAGTGATAAACCTTCCCCCGAAAGAGGAAGAAGGGGGAGGACGAGAAACTACTTTTAATTACTCACGCCCAAAAGTTTTGTGGGATTGTTTGACGGGGGTTTGACGGCATCGGGGGCCGAACGATACCCCTTTCAAACCGAACGAAATACCTTATGGCGCATTTTCCACGACACGAGGATGTGTTGGGTAATTCACGTTCTCCTGAGGTTTCGGTTTCTTACAGCGGAGAAATGGACCAGTACATCCTCAGGGTCGACGGCGTCATGGACGGCAGGGGACTCCGCGCTGTCGCGGACAGCAAGGACACCAGCCTCGTCCGCGGCACGACGAGCGCCCCGAGAGACGGCTCGATCAACAAGCTGCACCCTGACCTTGACCGGTTGTTCGGCGTGGCGTTCAAAAATGGGCCTCGCCTCGCCTTCGAGGGATCGAGAAGTTGCTTTGTCTTCCTCGGCGGAAGGCCGGTGGAAGCCAGCGGAAGTAAACGGGTGTGGGTCCGCTGGCGTAAGCCGACGGAAGGCCAGCGGAAGCCAGCAGAAGCAGAATGTACATTTGTAAGAGATGCAGACACGTATCCCCAGACAGCGCTCTGCTTGCACAAAGGGGTCCGCATTTGTCACTGAGCAGTGCTTTCACTTAAGGTTTCTCGCTTCCCCTGTGAAGAGCTGAGCCTGTTTGTCGGTCTAGCGGCTATGTTGCCGCCGTCGCCGCCCAATCGCCGCCTCGTCGCCGCCCGTCGTCCGTGCTCCCTTGCCAGTCTGGCGGCCATGTTGCCGCCGTCGCCGCCCCGTCGCCGTCGCCGCCTCGTCGCCGCACAAAACATAGATTGCACCACGTCGATTCTCCTCTCTAATAGAAAAATTAATTCTAGACGCTTCGCGTATCCCCACCAGCCCGTCCAGAAATGAGTCCCAGGGGAGTGGAGGTTATGAGGGAAGCGGGGGAGCATGCAGAAGAACAGAGGGCGGGGTGAGCCGCCATATACCCCAAGAGGGGGAGGATGTAGGAGGAGCCGTCGTCGTCGGAGTAGGAGGAGGAAGAGGAGGAGCAGGAGCAGGAGGAGGAGCAGGAGGAGGAGGAGGAGGAGGAAGATAAGGAGGAGGAGATGGAGGACTGCGAGGACGAGGAGGACGAGAAGGAGGAAAAGGAAAAGGAGGAGGAGGAGGAGGAGGAGGAGGAGGAGGGGGAGGGGGAGGAGGGAGGAGGAAGAAAAAGAGGAGGAGGAGGAGGACAATGGCGAGCTTGGAGGCCTCTTGGGCCGTCTTTGGAGCCTCTTGGCGGTCCCGGGGGCCTCTTGCGTATCTCGGGGAGCCTCTTGTGGCCTCTTGGGGGTCTCTTGGGGGCCTCTTGGAGGCCTCTTGGGGGCCTCTTGGGGCCTCTTGGGGCTCTCTTGGGGCGCTCTTGGGGCGCTCTTGGGAGCTTTCGAGGCGCTCTTGGGGCCATCTTGGAGGAGATCTATCAAAGAAGGGGGGGTCCTCAATTAGCGCTGCCCCTCTAGAGTGCCTCGAATCGCTTCTTGGGCCCTTCTTGAGGCCAAAATCTTTCCAAAACCTAGGTAAAATCAATGTTTTGTGTTTTCTCGCCTTTTCGCTCTTGGAGCCGTCTTGGGCCGTCTTGGGAGCCTCTTGGGCCTCTTGGAGGTCTCTTGGGAGCCTTTTGGAGGCCTCTTGGGCGCCTCTTGGGGCCTCTTGGGGCGCTCTTGGGGCGCTCTTGGGGCGCTCTTGGGAGCCTTCGGGGCGCTCTTGGGGCCATCTTGGAGGAGATCGATCAAAGAAGAGGGGGTCCCCAATTAGCGTTGCCCCTCTAGAGTGCCTCGAGTCGCCTCTTGGGCCCCCCAAGAGGCCAAAATCCTTCCAAAACCTAAGGAAAATCAATGTTTTTTGCTTTCTCGCCTTTTCGCTCTTGGAGCCGTCTTGGGCCATCTTGAACTCTCTTGGGGCCTCTTGGGGGTCTCTTGGCAGCCTCTTAGAGGCTTCTTGGGGGCCTCTTGGGGTCTCTTGGGGCCCTCTTGGGGCGCTCTTGGGGCGCTCTTGGGAGCCTTCGGGGCGCTCTTGGGGCCATCTTGGAGGAGATCTATCAAAGAAGGGGGGAGCTCCAATTAGGGTTGCCCCTCTAGAGTGCCTCGAAGCGCCTCTTGGGCCCCCCCAAGAGGCCAAAATCCTTCCAAAACCTAAGGAAAATCAATGTTTTGTGCTTTCTCGCTTTTTCGCTCTTGGAGCCGTCTTGAGCCATCTTGGGCGTCCCTGACACCTCGCGAGACGCCTCGTCCAGGTCAGTGGGGAGGGGTAAGGGGAGGGGTAAACCCCTCCCCGAAGGGAAAGAAGGGGGGTTGGCAGAGGAAACGCTCTAGACCACCTACGCCCTAAAGGGCTGGTGGGATTCTCCCCCTCGGGATTATCCCCTTTTTTCCATATTGCAATTTTCATATGACTCTGCCGAATCGTCCATCCTAAATATGAACACACGCCATCCCACAGGGGGCTGGTATAAACACCCCAAATCATCCTTTGCAAAACATGCTATGCGCGCACTCGTCTTTCACTCATCATCAGTTTCCAACAATCCCGTGCAAACACATTGACGAAATGCTCATGCGCGCGTCGTCGCGTGGGTATGCCGAAATCCTTCAAATTCGAAACTATGTCAAAATCGATTGCCCAACATATAAAAACATTCGTTTCGTAACCGGATGTTCAAACGAAGCTTGCACTCGCGTTCTTGCGATGTTTAAGAACGCCACATGTTTTTAATCATTTTCAGAACATGCTGCCAAGCGGGGTTTCGAGCGCGCATGTCGAAATCGTTCGAACTCCATTGCGCGCGTGCTGTTGCCATAATCCTTTGCAAAACATGGGACGAAGCGCACGTGCGCGCGTCGTCGCGCGCGCATGCCGAAATCAGTGAAAAGCCCCAGCTTTCGTAGGGATTTCAAAACCAAGTGTTGCGAAACCATTTGAAACAAACCACACGTTTTCACAACGTCAGTTCAAAACAGCCTGCGTTCGCGCTCTCGCGAATTCTTAACAAAGCCAGTGATGATGTTTTTTCTATATGTTCATGGATTTCTGCCAAACAGGCCTCTCGAGCCGCATGCCGAAATCATTCCAACGCACTTGCGCGCGTGATGGGGGGGCGATCCGTGCCAAAGAATACCATGCGGGCCACTCGCGCGTCGGCAGCGCGCGCATATCGAACTCCTTCCAAAAACTTCATCACCGACACGAGGACGCCGTCATCGTCGTCGGCGTGATCAGCATTGGCACCGTCACTGGCCGTGCCGTTTCGTTGTCAACGTCGTCAGCAGCATCGCTATTATCATCATCGTGTCTGCCGTTGTCGACGTTGCCCTGATACCGCGTTCGCGTCGGCCGCGCCAGACTGGCTGGCCGCTGCGGCTCCCGTCGCTGGCTGCAGCACCCAGAGCTGCGCCTGGCACCAGCGGGGCTGGCTGTGATCCTAGACGTGCGACGTCCTGATTTTTCCAGGACGGCGTCCCTGGAAGTCCCGACCATTTCCCCCGGACCAGTTTTTCGTCTTGAGGCGTTTTTTGACGGTCCCGAGGCCCGGCGAGGGCCCCCACGGGCCGAAAATAGTGACAAACATTGCCGTCCTGATGCTTTGACGACGCTATCATGTCTGGGATATCATCGGCAGCGCCAGCCAGCGCCGTGCGCGGCTGCGCTGGCACCGCTGGCGGCACGGCGGTCTCCAGCGGTGCCCTGCGCAGCAGCAGCCCGGCGATGCTGGCTGCACCACATGTGGCCGCCTCCGGCGGCCAGCCCGGCGCCGGCGCAACGAGGGCGGGGCCTCCGCCCGGAGGGCCCCCGCCCCGCGGCGGCGGCCAGCGGCCCCGCGCGGAGCGGCGCCAGCGTGATCTGCAGCACCTCGACGGCCGGCGGCGCTGCGGCAGCGCCAGCAGTGGCGTGGCCAGCTGCCTGGCCAGCAGAGGCCACAGCGACCAGCAGCGCCACGCTCAGCAGCGCATGCGCGAGGCAGCCCCGCGCGCGGCAGCACAATTGCGGCCTGCCGCAGCGCGGGGACCGAGCCCAGGGCGGGCCTCGCTGGAGGACCCGCTCGACAGCGATGGAACCAGCACTCAGGGCTGCGCCTGCAAGAGAAGAGGGCGCGCAAACCTGAAGAAAAACTCGAACGGGCAAGTCCGCCCCCCTGAACTTGGAAGCGAAGGGCTCGGTCGATAACTCCATGGCAAAGACTCGGATCACAGAGGGCATCCGGCCAGACTTGATCTTCGCGGGCAAATTGCCGAGGGCGGCGGCGCGCTGTCAGGCTGCGACGCCCAGAACTAGTCGACGATGCACTTTGGACGACCCCGCGCGAAGGACGACGAGCCGGTTGCGAAATTGGATGAGCAGGTCAATGCCAAGGGCGCCGAGACCGCCCTGACGAGCGACGTCGCCCGCGGCGACGTGCTTCCAGCAGGCAGCACACACGAACCTCAGGGTCGCGCTGGGCAACTGACTCGGCATGGGCAGTGGCGCGAATGCGATCGGTCAAGAGTGCGCGGGCGGGCTCGAGACGAGCACGTGGAGCGCCCAGCGGGCGAGTTCGGGAAACTTCAGGCCAGCGCGGGCGCCCGCGACGCGGCGGAGCGCGACGCCAGACAGTGCCAGGCAGACGGACAAGTACTCGCGCACTTGGGGGCGGCACCCAGGTGGGCACGACGATCCTCATGATTTAGCCCATGCTGGACAGACTGGCCATCAGCGGCGACAGTTTGTCCACTTTCCTGGAGAATGGTTGCAGGCCGTAAGGTCGACGTCGCTGGAGTCCGCGATAGGCAATCGGTTCTCGGCTTTGGCGGTGGACGCATGGGCCACCGCATAAATCCCAGACAACATGCCGGGGCACAGCGGCCACCGCGGATAGCCTAAAGAACCCAGAGATCACCACGGGAAACCAGACAATATTGCTGCGTTGAGGAATCGGCGAGAGCCAATCAGTCCTCAGAGTTGGCGGAGGACGCAGGGGGCACCGCGGAGAACCTGGACAACGTGCCCTGGGCATGCGACGCGACCACCCTGCCGATCGACATCGCCCGCGCGAGGACTTCCCTGCTGGCGGCGAGGTCGGGCAGGGGCAGCGGCGGGCAGCAGCGGGGCGACCGCGCGCCGTCAGGCTACGCGGTAGTCGGGCGTGTCCCTCTACAGGAGGAACGTTCAAACGTAAACAAACAGTAGTTCGGGGGCGATGTGTTGATTATGTGTTGACCATGTGGGTGTATTTTTTTGCCAATCAGGAATTTTGTCCGAAATCCCCCTGCGTGGGGGGCCCGCCCGACCTCAGGCTGCGCCGAGCTGACGTCGCGTCTCAGGCGCCACCTGCGCGGGGCGCAGGAGCGTCATCACGCGGAGAGCACCC